GACTTGGAAATAGAAGTCATCGAACGAAATGAGACTTGGGAGTTAACAGATTTGCCCAAAGGAAATGAAGAATATTGGAGTAAAGTGGTTTTCAAAACCAAACTCAATGAAAAGGGAGAAGTTAACAAGTATAAGCTAGGTTGGTAGCAAAAGGGTACGCACAACAATATGGTTTAGATTATACCGAGGTGTTTGCACATGTGGCTAGGTGGGATACTATTTGAATGATAATTGCTTTAACACCTTTGAATAGTTAGAACGTGTATCAACTCGACGTGAAAAGTGTTTTCTTATATGGAGAGTTTAAAGAAGCAGTGTTTGTTGAGCAACCACAAGGTTATATGAAAAATGGTCAAGAATACAAGTATACAAATTGAAGAAGGCATTATATGGTCTTAAACAAGCCCCACGTGTATGGTACAATCGAATTGAAGCACATTTTGTCAAAGAAGAATTTGAGAGGTGCAACTTTGACCATACTTAATTCATACGAACAGGAGATGGAAGTAAAATTTTGATTGTTAAGCATATATGTTGACGATTAATTTTTACTGGTAATGATGAGAGCATGTTTGTCATGTTCAAGAATTCTATGAAACCTGAATTTGAGATGACATAAGGAATTTATATTAGTAAGAAGTTTAAGGGGTTAGATTGACAAAGTAATAGTATGAAAACCCTATTGTTCCTGGAGTTAGACTGACAAAGGATGAAGAAGGAGTCAAGATCAATGCTATAATGTATAAACAATTTATTGGAAGCCTCGTGTATCTAACTGCAACATGGGCAAATTTAATGTACATAGTCTCTCTCATTAGCATATTTATGGCAAGTCCAACTGAGTTGCATTTGCAAGTTGGAAAAAGAGTGTTGAGATTTGAGAGTTCTTTATCGAAAAAAGGGTAATGTGACAGTGATTATGTAGGAGATATAGATGATAGGAAAAACACTTATGGTTACGTGTTTTTACTTAGTGATGGAGTTGTGTCTTGGTCCTCCAAAAAACAACCTGTAGTTACTTTATCCACTACTGAAGAAGAATTTGTGGCAGCGCCTCTTATGCTTGTCAAGGGGTATGAATGAGGAGAGTTTTGGAAAAACTTGGTCATTTTCAAGACAAGTGTATCACTATGTTATGTGATAAAAGTTCCACCATTAAGCTATCTAATAATCCAATCATGCATGGACGCAACAAACACATTGATGTGAAGTTTCATTTCTTGTGTGATTTGACCAAAGATGGAGTTATTGAGCTGAAGCGTTGTGTCACACAAGAACAAGTTGCAGATATTATGGCAAAACCGCTGAATTTGGATGCGTTCATAAAACTACATGAGTCAATGGGTATATGTGTAGTACCACGAGTAAACTTAAAGCATCTCTCCAATCAATTCAAGGGAGATTATTAAAGATCATATATTACCATTTCTTTAGTTTTGAAATGGTTAGCTTAGACCATTTCTTTACATATGTCCATTTATTTAGGGGTGTTAGGATCACAAAAAGCCAACATAGTTGTTTTATTTTTCAATGCAATTGATTTCAGACAAGAGCGAAAATTGTTAGATCAAGACACAGTGAAAAATAGTGAAAAAGACTACGTAGAACACTATACGTAGAACTAGAATAAAATATTGTAAAAGCCTAATGACCTAAAATGGATAGTGTATATGTCACGACGGTGTCGGACCTCTAATGTCTCTACTGGTGGACGCATATGCCCTAGCTTGACCACGTGTTTGTACTGGTCTGTCTGCTTCTTCCAATGCTCTAGGTGGATTAGGTGGGTTTTCGGTGTTCTTGTTCGTGCAGTTGATGGCGATATGGCCACATCGAAAAAAAAATCTCGCCCCGGCCATACATTCCTTGGTGCAACTTTTCACAGATCTTACCTGTAACGACCCTAAATTTCCACATATCTAGAGTCGCCACTAATGTCTCATGCTCATCTTAAATGTAGAATATAACTCTAAAAATGATATCTTAAATAGCAGAAAATTTAAAACTTCAAAATACATTAAACCACGAGAAAACATTGTAGACTTACATATTTCAAACATCATGGTAGAGTTCAAAATAAGATAAAAAAAACAATTACAAATTAAATAATTTAAACAAATTAAATGCAAACAACCTATCCTAACCAATACTAGGAATTTTAAATATGCAACTATCCTATGCACGCGCCACAATCTCTAATCACAATGCCACCGTCAACCGTACATGGTCGCCTTGCTTTTCCCTAAAAAACAATATGGCCCACGGCCTGAGTATTTTGAAGAAATACTTATGACCCCACTATAGGGGTCATGCTAATGCAAACACAAGCAATCATGAATTAGGGACCTATCTCTAATCATCATAAGAGAGGCCTCCAGTCTCGGACAAATTGGATGTGTAATACTTCCCTATACACGACTCCCACGTCCAAGTGTGAATCCCCAGGGCACTCCCACACCCCCTGGACCCTTTGGTCAACCTAATCTATAGCGACATCCTGAGGTCAATGGAACACCACGGTGTCATGCACTTCATAAACACCCTCATCTGTTCGCATTCACACTCATCATCATACGGTGCGCGTTTGCACTCATCATCTCTCGGGGAAGTAGCCCTATGCTTATGAACACACAATATGCATGAGATCCCTATAAGTCCAATTATACGTTTCTTCTGACACAACCCTCTACTCTCATCTCTTTGTTACACTGTCAACATGTGCTCGTGGATATTTACATTAATATCATTTTCATGCTCTTAGGGTTGTGTTCTATGTTGATCTAACGACGTGATGCAATATGGCATACAATATCATAAGGCATGTTCAACATGGAAAACATCATCATGTTAATAACATCGTCATGCATACATCATACTCATCATAGAAGTCATTAAGTGCATCAGATATAACATGTACGTCATGCATCAAAACATAAATAACGTACATTTAACATACATCACAACACAACGTCATACTCATACACCATCATAATTCAAACAATCTTTAGCCTATCCTATAGTAAGGCCACTTATCTGTTGGCCTTAGCCGAAGTATTCCCTAATTTAATTAACATAAGCTCCCGTTCCTCGAGAGCTACTCCAAAGGTGTTGGGTTCGCCTCGTCACCTTTCATACAAGTATTTCACATTTTAATTCATAATCCAACTAACAATGTGAAATACGGCTCTAAAACGGTCTCAGTAAAAATCGAATTCCACGTTGTCATTGTTTCTAAATTTTGTTGGGTGGTAAAACTTAAATTAAAAATATGTAAATCATTCCATCCAACTATTGTTTGTTATAATACCATATTCTCTAGGTACATAATAATAATAAATCATTTATTTGGAGAGAGCCATCAATCAATCATTTATTTATTTATTTATTTTTAAATTATTATTATTATTATTTATTTATTTAAAAAAATTCAATCATTACATAGGTGAATTCCTATTGTTTCTTAAGGATAATACTGCTTTAGGAAGATCTCCGAAGGTCTCCTTAAACTATACCAACATCATAGTTCCCCCTCCTGGGTTAATACTATCTTTATTATCCGTCCACCATACTTCTACGTCCTTTTGCAGCATAAATGATGCACAAGGGACTTTCTTGTTGTTTAGAAATTCCATCGACTCGAAAATGGTTTCCATGGATGAAACCACATCTAAGATTCTATTGGATCTCTCATAGTACCAATGAATGGGCGTGGATCGTACCGTACTGTTTGAAGTCCAATAACCAATTCGCTCCTCTAACAAGTCGCAAGTTGTAGGCTTGTTGAGTGACCATCATAGCTTGAAACGATTATCACATCAGATTAGTCCGTCCTTATTACTGATCCTTCTCAAAGAGGGCTCTTTTCAGCCTCACCTCTAATAAGGGGTCGTCTCCTTCCTCGTCTTCCTCTTCCTCTTCCACATTCTCCGGACGACATGGTTCTAGAATCTAAGATAATATCTTTTAAGTCTAAGACTCGCTAATATGAATAACAATATTGCATAGCACAAAATCATACTATAGCACATGGTATTAATTCAATCAACATGCCACAATCAACAACTTTCTTAATTAACCATATACAATATCACAAAAATATAGGCTTTTTTTTTTTTGTTTGTTTGTTATCTTATGCCGGACATATTTGTCGGTGATGAGGCATGGGACCATATAATGTGTCAAGCCTACTTTGTAGGCTAGTCTAAATAATCTGTAACCTAGAGCTCTAAGACCAACTATAACAACCCTAGATTTTTGCTACCTAAAGTTGCTACCATGTGGAAATCAACTCTTAAAACATCATCTTTAAAATCATAATGTCAACATAAGCATAACATCATCGTTGAAAACACTGACATGGTCTTACGTGTTCAAAAACATAATTCAAAAACAAAATTAAAATGATAATAATAAATAATTCAAAAAACATGAAAAGCATAGCGACCTATTCTAACCTAAGTCTAAGAATTTAAATATGCTACTAGTTTATCCACGTGGCATGGTCTTTGATTGCGATGCCATTGTCAGCCGTACAGGAGCAACTTGCCTTTACCTGAAAATAGCACACAACCTAAGTATTTTGAAGAATACTCAGTAAGTGACCCCGCTATAAGGGCCATGAAAATGCAAATACATGGAATTCATGCTTTAGGGACCTATCGTTAAAATCATCCTAGGGGTGTGAGCTGCAGGCAACTCGGTGGGGAGTATGGTCAAAGGATTACGTTGTCCAGTGAGCTGTGGGCGTGCGTGCGCTTCTCCAGAGCATTGCCTGAGAACTCCGGCGCCTTGCCGGAATTCTCAAATTAACTAAAATTTAAAAAATATATTATATTTATTTAATTTGATAAGTATTTTTTAATTATTTAAAAGATATTTGAACTAGACCCGACCCGACCCAACCTAACTCATAAAACGACTCTACAAACGTCTCAATTCATGGCTGACCATTTTGTATTATCTAAAAAAAGAATAATGGTTGGAGCACAATACAAAAGAAGAACAATCTTGATTCTCTCTCCTCTATCGCTCCTTCGGCTTCTGCGTATTAAACACTCGATAATAAAGTCTACTCTCAGGGTCTCACTTCATCCCACATCCCGCTCTCTCTTCACCTTTTCCCGAATCTTAAGGAGAACAATTACAGGTTCTACCTGGATTTGATGTTCTTTGTTTTCTGATTCAATTCACCTCTGTTTCTTTTATCATTCATCTCTGCTGAATCTAATTGTGAGATTGTCTTTTCTTTTTCTTTTTTTAGGTTGTGATTGATGAGGTTGGATGTTGTTTGATGCTTTGATTTTTCTTTCTTCCTCCATTTCTTAGTGAAGCATTTCTGTTTTAGCCTGTTGATTTGAAGTTTGGGAAATTTTTGTGGATTTTTGTTTTAATTGTGATTTTGCAGCCCATGGTTTTGTTATTGATTAGATTTGATCAAAGTGATTCTTCTGATATGTATGATTCCAGTTGATGATTGGTTATGATACTTATAATTACACGCTTTTCTGCCCCTTGCGATTCTATTCTGCTCCGAACTCTGATACTTATTCTATTTTAGTCCTTGCAAATAGCGGCTTTGTGTTTCTTTTCTTTCTATATAAATTATTTAATACCAACCCAAGTAACTAATCTCAACATAACTTAACTCCTTAAACTATTATATCCTGGTTTAAATTCTTACCGTTCATGTTGTTGAACTCGAAAAAAAGAAAAAAACAACATAATGTACAATGGATAGTGGTAAAAGGCATGCATGTGTTTACTTGAACAATTGATGTCGTGCAGCCAATTTTAATTAAATGACAATGACTAAAGTGGATTTTTATGCGAAGATTAAAGACTAAATTTTAGTTAAATAACCATGACTAAAACTTTACATCCTTGCTGATGACATATAATTGAAGTAATGCCTTGAGCTGGTCTTATTTCAAATCAGTTTAATCTAAAAATTCAAAGTTGTAATCATGTTTAAATATATTTGTTTATTGAACTATAGAATTATATTAAGAAATAATTCTCTTCAATTAAACTAACAGATCTAGTTAGATGATCTCTAGCAGTCAGGGAATGTCATTAATAATTTAATTCTTGTTATTTTCATCATCTCTTCTTCATCTCCATGTTTGAAAATTTTGAGCTGTGTGATGTTGGCCTATACTACTGATCATCGATTTGCAAGTTAGTTTTCTGATCTGTTCTGTTTTATCAAATACCAGTTACATTTACAAATATTGGACCTTTTGTGGATTGAGGTAGCTTCTAGGTATTTATGTGTAAGGATATAAGTTGGTGGGTAGATTTGGCTTGATTTACAAATACTGCCAGTTTGATTAAACAATATTACAAATCCGTGCAGTGTTTTGTACTGCACAAGTCTTCTTTGACATCTGAAATTGATAAAAGCTCCAAAATGGTTGATCATATGAATGTTAACGGACTCTGAGATCAACCAGGAGGTCAATGGTTGATACCCTATTTTTTATATGCTCACTTTTGAGGAAACTCATCAAGGGAGTTGAGTTCTAATATATAGGATATATCAATACAACTTGTTCTGTTTATCACACAATCATCTTGCATGTATGGAAAAATGACGAGCTTTGTTTACGATTTGCTTTTGTGGTTGGATGAAACTGTTATGATTGGTTCCAGTGTTGTCTACTCCTTTCCTGCTAGGGGGGGTACTATAGGTAAATTCGTGAAAGATCTGACTGTCTATTTTGTTCCTTTGACAATGAATTGCAGCTGGGAACTTGAGAGTAGGCGAGATTGGTGGAAGTGTATAAATATGAGCCTGACATGTCTTGTATGCAATAGTGTAGAGAGCCCTTCACACTCTTCTCGGAGCTATTCAGTTTCGAGTTCAGACAACGAGGGAAGATGTTCCTCAATGGCTAACTGTCTAATTTGGAGACCATCTTTCCCTCCAACACACCACCCATCATATGCAGCATCAGCCAAGGTAACTCCCCATCCAAACATTGTCATCAGTGACAGAATGGATGGTGCCCCAAGGCTGGTGCGGAGCCGGGCAGTAAGAAGGGACCTGGTACGCGATTGGAATTTCGACGCAGTGGTTGTAGTTGAGCATTAATAAGTTTGATGAGAGTAGTAGGGTTTTGAAATGGGTGGTTATGGCCTGCAAAGATGGGGCTTCCTATGTACTTATGTTTTCTTGTGGTTACAACTGAACTCACACTTCCATTGGAAGAGTTTGCACATTTGTAAGCACCAGAAAATGGGATTTACAACTTTGTTTATATATTACCTATTTACTACTGATTCATAGGAGGCAGGCAGGGTTGGGATGGGCTAAATTAGGTTTGTAAACTTGGATGGAATTCTGGTTTCAAAGATTTCCATGATATACACCAAGTTTATTTGCATATAAAACAAATAAAGAAGTGTTTAGAACATTTGTTTGTCCAGAGCTTCAAAGCTGCCCCTTCAAAACTCTTGAAACTTGTTTGAAGTTTGGAGAAAACGGTTGCTATGGGTTTTGGATTTGAAAAAGGTTAATTTGGGACTCCACTGGACTAGAAGGTAGCAGGTGGCATTTGTTGTATGAATTTTGTCTCTTTCCAAGATGGTTTCTCCACTCTCAGTTGTGTCTGAGGAGGGGTTGTTTGGATGGTTTCTCCACTCTCGGTTGGGTTGTGTTTGAGGAGGTTTATTCTTCTAGTTGCTCTGATTAGCTACTGAGGTTGAATTACTTTAATGTTGGTCAGATCCCTACAATATACACAAGATTCAGTTGCTGGTTGAGTCATTAGAGCTGCAACTTGGACAAGTGCTTTAGTCATTGAACCCGGTCCGAATGCTAGAGTTTGTAGAATATATTGAAGCTAATTGATCGTTAACAGAGATCAAAGCATCATCTTCAAGTACTCCTCGGGTCTTTTTTCTTGGATTGTTCATCACACCAGCCTACTAACAAATGTTAGATGCTATTTTGTCTAAGATCTCATATGTATGTCTTCGACAAGATAGCTCCATCTCCATTTGCGAAATATCCACCACTTGGGAGTAATATTCAGTTCATTGTAGAAAGTTTTCATTTGGATATAATGGGGTAGTCCATGATGAGGAAATTTCCTTTACATCTCTTTAAATCTCTTCCAAGCCTCACTTAGTGTCTCATCTTCAAACGGTTGAAAAACAACTATTTCATTTCTAAACCGTGCATTTCATCTAATGGGTGAGAAGTACTTGATCAGAAATTTCTATATTAGACTATTCCAAGATTCAATTATTTTGGGAGCTAATCACATTTTTATCCACTCTTGGAATCATAGTCACTCCCAAAAATGATTTTAAATGTAGATGGGATCTTCCAACGGTAGTCCATGAAACTTGCCCAATGGTTTACACATTTGAAACATCATGAGCTTTAGCTCAAAAGTAGTTGCTTGGCTTTCAAGTTTGATAATGCATGGATTTAGCTCCTCTATGGTTAGGTGTGCATATGCTATGATTGCTACTTCTCTGTCATGTGCTAAATGAATAGCATTAGAGCAACTCTCTTCTATGTTAACCATCCATTATTCAAAATAAACTATTTAATAACAACTCTTTAATAAACTAAAATAACATCATCAACCTGCGTTAACTACATAGAACTCTCCTATCTCCTTTATAAGATTTAGCTCTCCAAACACATTGATTTGATTTACACATAGAAATCAACATCTTAATTATACAAAATTAATAAAATAAGAAAAAAGAGTAAGAGAATAGAGAGTTATTAAGCTTGTTTGTTGTCCTTCAATGGAAGTTTCCCTCTTTTGAGCTCTCTTGTCCCGATCTTTGCCTTAAGCTATCCTTCTTAATCCATTTTTTTCTTTTTTTCTCATTAGTTGTAACGACCTTAGACTTTTGTTAACTTAAAGCTGCTACCATCATCTTAGTCTAAGTTCTTTTGCGGAATTTAACTCTTAAAACGTCATTGTAAATCATAATTTCTCATGGTTTTACGTATTTGAAAACATAATTAAAAAACAAGCTAAAAATAATAATAATAAATAAAGTAAAACATATAATGCAAAACAACCTCTACTAACCTAAGTCTAAAATTTTAAATGTTACTAGCCTAGGCACATGCCATAGTTTCTATGGCGATGTAGTTGCCAGTGGTACAAGAGTGTCTTGCCTTTACTTGAAATAGAAGTAGCACATGACTTAAATATTTTAAGAAATACTCAGTAAGTGTCCCCTCTACTGGAGTCGGGCAAATGCAAACACATGCAACTCATGCTCTAGGGACCTATCGTTAAAACCATTATAGGGGTGGCCTCTAGTCCGGACTAAATTGGATGTATAGTATTTTCCTACACATGACCCATTACATTCGAGCATGAATCCCCAGGTGGTTTGGACCCTCCTAGACCTATCATAATTAAGCTAGTTGTCCGTAGCAACGTCCGGTGGTCAGCAGACCCCTGAGTGTCATGCGAGGAATGAACACCATCATCATTGTAGTGTACGCGTCCATACTCACCATCGTAAAAGGGAAAGTAGCCCGATTTTTATGTACACACAAAATGCATGAGGTCCCTATGGTTCCTATGGTTTCTCATCTTTAAAACATCTTTATGACACAATCCTAATTCCATCCTTATATTACTATAAGTAATATATATGCATTGGTCTTCATACATTCATCATCGTTAACATTGACTAGGGTTGTGTCCTAGGAAAATCATCATCATAATGCAACATGACATTTAAAACACACATTTCATTTTAAAATGACTGATCTTCCCCAAGAGCTCACATTGACAGGAATGTTTGAAAATAACATCATATTAAGAAAATTCCACAATCTTTCATCGTTACGTTTTCATGCATCATTATCATCATACAATATCATCATTTAACAACATCATAATCATCATGTAACTTATTCATGTCATCATATGTAATATATCATACATCATCATCAAAGCATCATAGGTATAAAGCATAAATGACACGTGCATGGGTCACTAGGCACGTGTCGTCATACATCAAATAATTGTTCCAACCTATCCTATAGTAAGACCACTTGATTGACCTTAACTGGTATTTTCGCTAAAATTCGAGTAGGCTTGTCTTATGTTCCTTAAAGTTGCTCCAATTATGGTCGGGAGTCATTTTGTTTCATTAGTATTTCACAATTCTATTGTAATTTAACTTGAATGTATGAAATAGGACATCGTAACAATAGTAATTACCTTAATTAGGATCAAAATCAGGTTGAGGATGGTCAGAACCGTAGAAATTGGGCAAAAATACCCTTTACCAAGCCAAATAGCCGAGTTTCAGTCGTTAGAGCCGCATGAGCCAAGTCAAGTCACTAGAAACGAGGGAGTCGGCGTCTGCAGGTTCGACACGTGTCACCGTAGGAAGGAGACGCGCTGCGGGTTACTTCTCGGGTCGAAACGCAGACTTCGGATCACTGATTCGGGTGCGCGGGCTGTAGGTGTTTAGGTCGCTGCGGGTTTTTGGGCCGACGATTTGTTATAGACGCGCGGGTCGCAGATCTAGGTGCCAGTGTTTGGGCTTTTGGGCTTTTGGGCTCAAAGGTTAATGGGCTAGTGGACTTCTTGCGAGTTGCTGCAGGTTGGGTATAGTGCATGGGTTCGACCCGGATCTGGATCCGTCGAATTCACGATTTCTTCTTCAAATTTCTCTCTTCACTGCAGCCGTTTTCGTCACTCCTTCATCTCT